ACCCCCCCGGTTTCTCTGGTTTAAATAGACCCCCCCCCCCCCACCCCCGCCACTATGATTCTCTCCCTGCCTAAGGGCTGTCCCTGATGAGTGGGTAAGAGCTCTTCTGGTGTGTGTTGGGGGAATACACTACCTGATCAGCTCACAATCTGCCCTTCTCCATTATTTAAGGAAGGCGAGAGTGAGCTTTCATCTCCAGGGCTTATTAAAATATTTAACACCCGGGAAAAGCAGCACACTCAGAAATCAGAAATCGTTTAGAAGAATGGTGATAGTACTGTGTTCCTGTTGTGACTATCGATGTAGATATACATATGTGAAATTATAGATTGTATCTATCACATACATACGTAACACACTCTTCTCTCTCCCCCCACCCCCAATACTTATTTGTAAAGAAAGCCTTTCCTGGGTCCATTTTCTGCCAGAGTTAGGCGTAGGAGGTGGGGGATGGGGGTGTTGGTCGGTTCAGTTTTTAATTGGAAGGCTTCAGCATTAGACTATTTCAATCCCAAAGTAAAGGCCATTGAACCACCGGTACAATACCGTCAAAGTTGGAGGGTAGGCGACTGTAGTAGGAGCGTACCCCTAGTCTTTCCTTTAGTTTTTTTCCATTGAAAGAAAGTTTATCTCCCTCATGGAAATCTATCAGAATTCTGTCTGGCCGTGGAGATAGAATACTACATGTGAAATGTTCAAGGGATAAAAGAAAAAAATGATTTCTTTCTTCTTTTTTGGTTTTGGAAGATGCGTGTCTGTGTCGATGATATCGTATTTAAAAAGGAGAGGAAATGAATAGAGCTGGGTGGGGGGATTTGGACGATGGCGGATTTGAAGTTGGGGAAAACTAAGTAAAAGAGAATTTATATTCTGTGTTTGGAAAATCCTGGAAGTACACACATGCTACTCTGCTTTCTTTTCTTTTTTTTGGGGGGGGGAAGCAATTCGTAGAGAAGGCATTTATGTGAGCTTACATTCATCCAGTCCATCTTCCAGTGTATATTAAATACCTACTATGTGCCAGGCAAGTGCTAGGCGGTGGGGATACAAAGGAAAAAGGGGGAACACTCGGGGTCAGATTGCCAGCATGCGCAAGTTTAGGGGACTCTCTCTCTGTGTGTATACATATGTAGATGTGTGCATGCACTGTGTGTATAGACGAATCAGAAAGAAAATGTACGTGCAAAGCCCTGGTCCTTAGACCCGAAGGAAAACTCTGAGTACGAAGCAGTGGAGGGAAGTGTGATTAATGATCGCTGATTTAGCGATAAGTGATTAGTGGTTTATTCAAACTGTTACCTCTGACCAGAAGCGCACATCAGAGGATTAACAGGTTCTTTAGATGAATGCTCATTAGTGGAAGGGGGAAAGCAGAGATAATAGGCGGGCACACAGGGACAACTTTCGAAGAAAATCATTCCCCCAGTCTTTGGGAATAATAAGCTCTATTAGCAGACAGCCTCTTTAATTTAAAACTTGCTTTTATCTTGTAAATCAAAGTTAGGTGCAGAAGTTCCCCCGATGCTATTATAGCCTAAATTTTCCCAGATCCACGGGACATGGATTATCTCAGTAGCGATCCTTGCGCCGGCCCCCCCCCCACCCTTTTCATTTAAATAAACAATGGACACGTTAAAGCCCCAGAGCCCTGACAGGCGTTTGCAGCGGACCCAGCGCCTAGAGGTGTTCCCCACTTTGCCAGGGCAGAGGGTGAAGCCTCGCCGACGGCTAACTAGGTGGCGCCCTGCTCTTTGGTGTGCTCCCCAGCCCTCCGATCGGGCTCTGTACAAGTAGCTGCTTGCTAGGGGTCCTTCAACGAGTCTGACAAAGTGGATTCTGTGCTGGGCTGGAGGCTCCACAGCTCCCCGACTCGTTAGTCACATTTTCCATGTCAGTTAAATCTGGGGAGTTAAAGACTACTGGAAAAATCCGTCTCATTGCTAGGAGAAACTGTCAGAGAGAAAGGTACCCACGCACAATCTGGGATTTGGCCCCGCCTGCCTGGAGCAGCAGCAAGAGACCAGACCTATTGCTTGCGAAGGTTTTTATGTGAATTCAAGCTTCTCATGGTCTTCAGCTCAGAGAAAGAGGACTCCCCCACGATCGGTGGTTTTCCTCCCACTCCGTTGTTGGCGAAAAAAAAGAGACAAGTGTCTTAGAAAGAAAGGCTTCCTCTGGTGGCTTGAGGAAATCCTCCCCTGTTCACTTTATTCTCCACATAATGGTAAGGAATACATTTCCTTTGGTATTTGGACCCTTGTGAAATGGGCTAATAAGACTTCGATGTCAGTTTCAGGTGAAATGGGCACAGTTTCTGGGTCAGTTACCTGTAAGGCTGGTTTTCGGTGAAATGATGCTGCTTTAGGTAATTAATCGCCTGCTGCTTTTCATGTACTTTGTGTAGAAGGAGGTGTGTACGTGAGTGCTTGTGTGGGGCTGCCTTAGAGCTTTTCTGCCTGCCTTTGAGCTCCGTGAGAAAACCCTTGCCCGAAGATCTCCGTGAAGCACTTGGGTGAACTTTTTGTTTAAGAAAAAAAAAAAAAAGATTTTCTTTAAAAAAAAAAAAAAAGGGGGGGGGGGGGTGGGGGGGGGGGGGAGAGAAAATGTCCACCAAGTCCCAGTAGTGTATTGAACTTTGTGGATGCCTTGAGATAAGTGTGAGGACAGTGCTTTGGGGAGCAGTGGGTGGGGTAAAGGGGTGGCAGGTCTCTCTTTACCGGTTTAGAATTTACAAAGAAATCTCTCTTGCTCTTCCTAAGAAAAGAACATGTCCCTTTCAGCTTCTCCTAACAGCCTGTTGCATTCATTCCAGAGGAGTAATTCTGGGGATTCCTGACTCTTCATTGTAGAACCTTAATGGGAAGCTTCTAAGACCAGAGGGGCATTTGCTTGCTAGCACTGTGTCCTTGAAGCTGTTTTTCAAGTTCCCATCTATTGAAAAGCCACCAGTTCTTAAATAGTCCCATGCCTGATGTCTGATGGGCCGAGCCCTCCAACGAATAGACCAAAAATGCTTTGCGAACTTTAAAATACCATGTAAACGGCAGCTGTTACGGTTATTTTAGTTGTTATTAATAATGGCTTGGTAAAATAACTTTCTGGTAAAAACCAGCCTCCATGGCATAAATGCAGATTTTACCTGACCAGGCCTTTCTTGGAGCCTGTCATTCCTAAATCCACTAAATCTGGTGATTCCTAAAATCACTAAATGATTCACTAAAATCAGGAAGCCAGTCTGCTTTTGATTTCCCCAAATGGCCTTATGAAGTTGTGATGACTTTTGATCTAAGGCTAATTGGCTCAGGTTTTATGACACTTTTCACATACAGATTGT